GCAAAATATTTTACCCACAGTAATATCATGGAAGCAAGGTGTGGACATAATCCATTCCTTATTTGGCGAAGTATCGTTGTAGTTGTCCCGGCGGTTAGAGAAGGGGTTTGCTTTCGTATTCGCGATGGGAACTCAGTAAGAGTTTGGAAAGATAATTGGCTACATGACACGGGAGGGTGCAGGCCGGCTGGGAATGTAATAGCTGAGTTGGAAAATATTAATGTCAATTCTCTCATGCTCAATGATGGAACGGGTTGGGATTATGATTTATTGGAGGACCTTTTTCAAGAGGAAGATAGAAAACTTATTGCTAGTATTCCTTTGCGACCGGGACAGATGGAGGATGAATTAATTTGGGCGGACGATAATCATGGAGTATATTCCGTTCGAAGTTGCGATAAAAGCCTCAACAGAAGAGTCTAACCGGAGGTGGATTAGGCGAAAATATGGAAAATTGAGATACCGCCGAAGGTAAAATTATTTTTGGCAAGCTTGTGTGGATTGTTTACCTACCAAACAACGATAAATTCAGTGGCGAGTTCCGATGTGGCCGAAGTGCGTGATTTGCGGGCATGAGGAGGACGAAGGAAGAGTTCGGCCATTTCGCTATGTTGTGTTTGAGCTTGTGGAAAGCTCGTAGTGAAAAGACTTGGGAGAATTTAAATCCAAGTTGGAAAGGTGTAATTGCATGCGGAGAAGCTATGCTGGAAGGGTGGCAAAAGGCGCAGCTCCCTAAGTCCCATAAGAAGGCCCCCGGTAAAGGAGGTTGATACATGGCAGCCATCGAAGAGAGGCTTCATGAAGATCAATGTTGATGCTGCTGTTTCTAACGCAGGAGATGTAAGAGGTCTGGGTCTAATTGTGCGTGACAGTAAAGGGGACTTCATAGCAGGAAAGAGTGTATAAGAGGAGGGGGCGGTTTACACCCGGAACGACGAAAGCTATGAAAATTGAGGAAGCTGTTCACTGAGCTATGGAACGAGGCATGAATCGGGTTATAGTAGAATCTGATGCTCAACACATTATACAGGGGCTTGCTCGAGGAGATGGCATACACTATAATGATATTATTATATTTAGAGATATTAGACATGTGATGGTAGAGTTTACCATTTTAAGTGTCGAGTATGTGCACCATACAACGAATCAGGTGGTTCATATTCTTGAGAGGGAAGCTTGTTCGGGGTCTGCCGGTATTTGGTTTGAGAATCCTCCAAGTTGTATTATCCATACTTTGAATGATCATTAATAAAGTTATTGGATTTGCAAAAAAACAATTTTTTAAATATGTATATTTAAGTTAATATTACATATTTACAAAAATTATATGTATACCTTTTCAGTGTTTCTATAATCTTATCGGCTGTGCATGTTCAATAGATATATCAAAATTCATAAACTTTAATGCTAACTCAATGCATATTTCATTATCAAGTATGATTTGATCTTGAACTGTATTTGACTTCATCACAATTTATAAATTAATCACTAAAGTGTTATACTCTATTAAAAATAATATGGGTTATGAACTTCACCTAGCCTATTTTTTAGGATATATAGCCATTTCTCCCCTCCAAAAAATGGTTTACTAATTAAGTTTATTTTTTTTAGATTTGAAGGTTATATGAAACTCTACATACACCTTACATTTTCCTGAAAAGGTTCGCACACATATGAGGAAGGGTTTTTGGGCCATCTTGTATGCCGAATTTTTTGGATCGGAAACACTTGAATCTCCGCCTCGCATTAATGTGATGCTTTTCGGTACGTAATTATACTCCATTTTTTCCTGTTCGCACCTGCTTAGTCTCATCCATATATTTCCAAACTTATACAGAGTATTATTAATTAATTAATTTTTACTAATTAAAGTCTCTACAAATGCATTTTTCAACCCCTAATTTCCCGAATTAAATGATTAATTAAAAGTAGTGTTTGCATAATTACATGCATGAAACTCATCACGTATGCATTTGTAATATGTAGATTGATGTTTCTAGTTGATGATGGGGGGTTATAGGATAAGATTGTGTTTACATATTTTCAAGAATTTAAACTTAGTTTAACAAAATTAATATTTATTTATTATGTATTTTACATATGCATTGTGGTTAATCTATATTATATCACAATTTTGATGAGGTTTTCAACAAAAATGAATATAGCAAGGTGACGGGTGTAATGATTAAAACCCGAATTCGAGCGGTTATGCTATTTATCATCCATGGGGCAGTGTTGTGCTCAGGTTAATTAATAAGAATAATACAATTACGAATGATTGATTAATTATTAATACATTCAATTCTAATTTTGTGGTCAAAGAAATGAGTTTTTGGCCATGCATATATGCATACTTGCAGTTATGCAGACAAAGCAAAGAGGAGGAAGGGAATACTGCAGGTTCATCAGAGCTTGCTGGTGGAAATGTTCACCTAGTGACCGATGTGGAGAACTGGGAAGAGATAATTTCTCAGGCAAACAAGAATGCCCAAATTGTGAGTATCTTGTTATGTCTTTGCGGTTTACGATGATTGAGTGATATAAAGTTAACAATTATTAGCGTTACATTTTGTATAAAGCTGTTCTTCAATCCTAAATTCTGATACATAATAGTGCACAACATATGTACAGGTTGTGGTAAATTTTAGTGCATCATGGTGCAATCCTTGTAGAATAGCAGCACCCGCGTACCGGTATCTCGCCGACAAGTACACGTCAGTGAAATTTTTAACTGTTGACGTTGACAATCTAGCGGTAATCATATCAGTTTAACTACTAATTAACAACTATATATATATATATATATATATATATATATAGGGAGTGGTTCTAATGAGAACGGGTCTTAACGTGAGAACGTGAGAACACATCCTAACTGACCATCTCATTAAACGAACGGCCATTAAATAATTGATACACAATATAACCATGCACTTCGTCACATGTAATAAAGGAAAGGAGGGGGGCGTGCAACTAATCAAGGGCATTGGGGTAATTCTATAAAATTCAATTAATAGTGCAACGGTTGTAGGATTGCACTTTCCAAAAAAGTAGGTAAAAATAAAATCTCAAACATATAAAATGTTTTTAGTTTAAAATTGATTTAACTTCTTAAATTATAATCCAATTTTGTAAAAAACTATATCAAATTAAATATTTTTTTTATCTTTCATATGACACCAATATTGCATATATAATTTCTTTTTTTTAAAGTATTATATGTATACAACAAACCACAACAAGCATCTACAACTACTGCACACACAACTTGTATTAAACGCACAACAATCAATATCTAATGCACACAAATAGAAGTATCTCACAAATAGTTTGTATATAAAGCACCAGAGCAAATATCTCAATCACAAAAAATAATATCTAACGCACAACAATTAAGAACTAATATCGAACACATCAGAATTTCATATAATTCAAACTACTATATAATACACATCAACTAGCATCTACAGCACAATACGTTATACATATCTAGCACATACATTATGGACATAGTCACATAGAGCATCACAATAAATACATAATGCACAAGAACCGGTATCTAGCACACAACCTCGAATATTGCATTTGAGTGACACAATAGTGCAGTAGTAAATTGTACAGATGCATATGAATGAGCAAAATTATGCAAATTCTAAGGCGTAAAGTACGTTAAGATGTAAAGTATGTTGAATCGATATCTAACACACAAACCCCAATATGTAATGCACATGAACTGATATCAAATTCACAGTTGATATACTCGTATAACATAACAATGAAAATACGTTGAGATTATATATGGTGAACAATGAAAATAAAATAAAAAAATAATTGTGCATTGGAATTACAAAATAGTGTGAATAAAGGTTGAGAATAAGGTGGGGGTTTTAGATGACGATTGATTGAGTTTGCATTAATATAAATAGTCAAATCATGTGACAAATGTAATGATTTATTTAATAATAAATGGAACTTGACTTGTACAATAGTGGAGAACGGGTGAAATAGGGTGAAATAATTTGTTTAACATTATATGGAACTTAATTTTTGCAAGTGGACGGACGAAAAATGCGGCCAAGTCATCGGTTACAAAAACTGCCATTACTAAAATACTTAAATGCCCTTTAGTTAACTTCATTTGATCGCAGATGGCGTTTGTTAATAGATGGCCATGATTTGTTCTCACGTTCTCACGTTAAGACTCGTTCTCATTTGAACCGAAATATATATATATATATATATATATATATATATATATATATATATATAAGTAAATGTGATTATGTTTTCCTACCTATCAAGATGCTATGTATCCGGAATTTAACCTTTTACACGGCTGCTGGCTATTATTGTTTTGGTATGACAGGAATTCAGTAATTCGTGGGATATCAAAGCTACTCCGACATTCATCTTCTTAAAAGAAGGCCGACAGATGGACAGAATGGTGGGCGGCAGCAAACATGAGTTAGAGAAGAGGATACTTTCTATGGTTGAGGCGTCTGTAGCTACCCCCAGATGATTCTGAAGTAGAAGTAGATGAATTTGAAGTAGAAGTCAATTTGCAGATGTTTAATTTGTTCTCTAATTTGGGTTTTGAGGCTTCTGAAACTTTGTAGATTTATATAAGCTTAGTACTTCTGTAAACACAAATGGGAGAAGTAATACTTCTGAAACTTTGGATTAATAACTTAATAGATAAATTAATATTCTTGGGAGAAGTAATGCGAATGAAAAATGCCAACAGCTGGTGTAAACACAAATGGTTCAGCCTCCAGAACAAGTCTTTGTCAGATCATTAGAGACTAGAGTATTAATCCAGGAATGAAGTGAGAGCGAGCAGTAACGTAAGAGACTGCCAAATTAAGGTTTGGTCTGAGCCCAGTCTAAGTTCTTGTCTAATAATACGCTCTTTTAAAAGTCAATTGGTGTAACTTTTAATCTTGGGACTATTATGTCAATTTATATCACTATTCTTTGTACCCATTCTCAGCCTTTTTTACTTTTAGCCTTTCGAAGTACCAAACGCGTACCAAACCAAAGCAGGAAATTTGAAAACGTGTACCAAACGTGTCATAAACACCACATTAGAGAGGACTAAGATGCAAAAACTTACAACACAAACTTGAATACATTACCAGGTATTACTGATCTAGTGTTTTTTTCCTTTGTACCGTGTAAATTGGAATGTGATATCAGAGTATTTATCTACAATGAGCGAAAGCAGTCGGTGCTATATGATTCTTTGTTCTCCATGACTTTGGGCAATGTTGATCCGTTGATCACGAAGCATGTTCAAGTTTGGAGCTAACAACCTGGTGTATCTATCAAAATATAGTATCTGCTTCATCAAAAGTGCAAATTCGCGAGGAAATCTCAACCCGTAAGACTCACCAACTTGAACCTGTTCAAGGTCACAAGAACCATTATGGTATGGATTATCACACCCATGCTTAAATAATAGTCCCTAATAATAAAGACTTGAAACTTAAAAGTAAAACCTACATAGTTTCTAAACGAGTATTGTTTTATCAAAAATCCATACCAAATCAAGAAAAAGAGTGTTCATTTGTCTCTGGTCAAAAGCTACATTTGCAGACATGGTGGTTGCTCTTGTCTTCGTGTCCCGTGCTGCTGTAACAACTATTTCTGTATCCAATTCCTAAATAACAACAGTATGATTGTGTCAAACAGCAACATCATAAAATTTACTTTGCAAGGATTCACTATTTGGCATAGACCAGCCTAATTGATGTCTAAATCCCGTGCTCTGAACAGCGATTATCTTTCAGAAAATGATTGCAGCATATTAACTACTAATGCACTTCATTTTCCAGTAGCTCCAAGTTCATACTACACAGCTATTAGCCTGTTATCATCTTGACTATCATGATCTTGTCCATTTTGTAGCCTTATCGGCTTGTTTGGCAGGATAAGCAAGAAAAGTAGCTTCTGAAATGCTTATTTAGGTGAAATGGATGGTTTCCAAAAATCATCCCACCCTCCCACACCTTACATGATAAGAGTTAATACTAAAGAACTGAATTTGGGAAACCCTAGCAAAGCACTCAAGCCTAGTGTGTAACTGTGTACCTCGATTGATGAAAATAGCTTCTCAAGATCTCTTGCAAAGGCCTTGGCATCCACATCATTGCCTGTAGCGCCCATGTCAATTAAGCCAGAAGCCATTGCATCATATTCTTTGGTTCCCATTGATGTTAAAAACATTTCCATACCAGCCCACGTTTTAGGAGATATGCGACCAACAATTCCTGTGCAGAAGACCCCATATCTTGTTATGCCCTGTCTCCCACACCTTACTTGTCCATAAATGGCTTAAACAATGCTCCTTCCGACTCACAACAAAATCATGTTTCAAGAACCATTTTTTCCAAAAATGGGTTGGTTTCAAAATTCAACTTTTGTTAACAAAAATAGTAAGTGGGTTTAGTCAATTACTCCAGAGTCCAGACAAACGTGGAAATAAGTTGTAGGGTACAAATGATCATTCATGATTTGAAAATTAAAGCTTCTACCTTGATTAAATTGATCACAAATAAAAAGTTGTAGCTTACTCAAAAGACTTTTTTTGGGATGGAGTATACAAGTTCTCTGGGGTGCAATAAAGATGTCCAAGGAGACACATACCAAAGTCAAGAAAACCAATGCGGCCATCACGTAGAAGCCACAAGTTGCCAGCATGTACATCAGCATGGAAGGACTCACAGGCAAGCAAGCTTCCAAACCTTCAAACACCATGGAGAAGAACATAACTTTTAAGGTCATGTTGGAACAGGTAAAATGATATCAGAAGAAAAGGGGAGGAAAATAGAGGGAACATTCAGAAGGAAAAAATGAAAAAGTGCTTCCAACTAAATAATCAGACCAGATCTTCCTGTAAACTCATTACATGTACTCCGTATTATATATAGGCCAAGAAATATAAATATATGTAAATAATAATAACTTAAAAATTATAAGTTTTAACCATGTTTAGCTTTCCTTCGTAGTTTCCAAGGTGATACCTAACACACATAAAATTATATTTTCGTAGCATTTTTCCTCCCCTACAATTTTCCACATCCCTACCATCATAGTGTTATTGTATAATAACTGTGAAGTTGTGATTGTAACCCTACCAGACATTTAAGGCAGTTATAAGGCTGGTCTCAGGATTAGGAACAAGTGAGTTTATTGAGTCTAAATCAGTAAGTGGAACTCCATGAAGCCTCTCCATTGTCAGGATTCGACGTGTGCTGCACTGCTGGTACACTCTTGGTGCTTTAGCCTGCCTAGTTAGACCCATAGTCTCAAGGTACCTCCTAAACGCCTCAATATTTGCAGCCTCTTTAGTAAAGTCAACTTCTTCAAGCATTGACTCCCTTATGTCTTTGACAATTGCAACCTATAAAAGACGGTGAATAAAATATATGGGTATAAATGCGATGTTGCATTAGCCAACTGAAAAGACATTTCTGAACACTTAGATGCATTAAGGAGTTTGCAAATGACTCAGGTTACCATATGACAAGTCAGAAATTCCATAAATTGAACTAAACTGTTAAAAAACTGTCAGCAATGAACTGTCCCTCAATAACTTAAAAAGAATTTATCTGCATTGTACCAGAGATGCACGGTCCAATTCGGGACTCAAGAACTGCAAAATACGTGCCACTATGTATACGAAATTCAGATCAGCCACTAAAATATCTTCTATCCCAGGTTTCAAGACCTTTATCACAACATCATCCTGAGAGCCTTTAAACCTTGCTACATGCACCTGGAAATTGAATATGTTTTAGTTCTAGTCATTCATCACATCAATAGTTCTCACCAGTAATAAGGACTTAATTATCAAAAATAGGACCTGTAAGGAGGGGGGGAAAGAAGAAAGGAGAGAAAGAGAGACTGAGAGAGAGAGAGAGAGAGAGAGAGAGAGAGAGAGAGAACTTGTGCTATAGATGCAGATGCGATTGGTGTAGGATCAACATAATAAAAAACATCATCAATTGGCCTGCCTAGTTCCTCACGCAAGATTGCTTTAATTTCTTCAAACGGGACTGGAGGAGCCCTGTCAAAACAGCACTGGAATTCTTGAACATATTCCGGTGGAAATATTGTGGGAGCAGATGCTATAAACTGCAATTTCAGAATCATTAAGTAGTTATGTAATCACAAGTCAAGTGTATGAATGATCAAGAAAATAGTAACTTGAGTCTCATCATATAAACATTGCGGCACATAAGTCATCCACCATAATGCATGATGAGAATATCAACATTAGCAAGAAACACTTACTCTAGTTACAATTCTCTAAGAAAATTAAAGCACACAACTTTACCTGCCCCAACTTAATATATGTTGCACCCATCCGCTCAAAAAGTTTCCTCAAATATATGGGAGATAATAATCCAAGCTGCATCTCGGTTGGTAGTCCGGTGGGTGAGTTCGCTGTCTACACGAAGATACAGAGAATTAGTATCTCGTAATTGTTATGTTCCAAAAGGTATTACAATCAGTATTAAAGACCAAGTTGCTGAAGATACTCTGGATCCAATGGTTGAGTTATACATAAGAGAAAAAGAAGGGTGTGGGTCAAATTGAGCTATTCTAACAACAATTTGATCAAATTCCAAATTCATTTTATTCATCTAATGACAATTGACTACCCATCTTCAGGCAAAATAAGGCGACTACACCAAAACACCAAGATGTATTGTCACACACTCACACCAGTTGTGATCCTTGTCTGCAAGACTGTTACCCTTCATGTATATCGTAAATTAATTAATTTTAGTTGAAAGTTATGTTACAAACTTTGGTAATTAGTATTACATCTGTATTCTTTTATTTGCTACACTTTCCATTTTGGGAAGTATTTTTTATTTGCTACACTTTCCCTTTTTGGTAAGTTTTCCCTTTAAAAATACTCAATAACCCTTAGTTTTTCTACTTTTCATATTCTCTTTCATACTTTTATATCCTCTCTTCTACTTTTTCTACTCTATTCACTACCCCTACTATTTTTCCTGTAAATATTGTGCAAAACCCTATTGTAGCCAACAATAGAACATGGAGGGAGTAATTCAGTATGCTACTAGAGTAAGTAAATAAGCCCTTATTTCAAAACCCATGTAATCCCCATAATTATATATCTATATTGGTATGATGCCATACTCAAGAACCATTTAACCATTTAGCTAAGTCAATTTTGTTGTGGCTTCTAAGCTAGGTGTGGTGCAAGTGGACTGCATTGTCGCCTAGGTGACTGCCGCCTACTGACAAGTGACCTTATGCAATACTCAAATATAACAATATATCAATTACTAATGAACCAAGTTAATTAAAAAAAGAGCGTAATATCCTCTTTTTAATAAACTAAAAAATAAAACTTTAGTAAAAGGCAGTGACACGATTCATATGACTGCCATAGTACCATCTAAAGAAATGAAATTAAAAAGAAAGAAAGAAAAGTTAACTACCCAAATAAATAAGAAAAAAAACAGACAAAGGTGAAAAGCTGATAAGAGGAGAAGGGAAGACACAAAAGCAAACTTGGGTGACAGCAAAAGCCACATCGGCATTTACTTCAGGTTTTCCTTTATCAGGATTTGGAGAACAATTCAATTCAGGGTGTCACCAAAAAATGCCTAATGAGTATCTAAGCGGTGTACTTCAACTCCCTCGCTCTTCGGACAAGGAGACCTACCCAGACAAGCTTTCTCCACTGCTTGGATGCCTAAGCATCAACTAGTTGTTGCCTAGATGATGACATGGGAACCATGGAAAGAATGCATACTTCAAATATTCATAAGATCTAAATCATATAAATAAAGTTGATCATGTAAAGCAAACACGCCTATGCATCAGTACGAGCACCTTTGAGACATCAGCCAGCCACTCACTACCAACCCCAATTACAGCTTGGATACCTTGGGCAAGCCTTAAAGCTCCACGCGGACCTGTATTTATGGACGTCTGAACAATATCCTCTACAAGAATAGGAAAGTTCTCAAGACGATCTGCATAAAACAATTTTCAGGATGTTAGACAACATTTCTTACAAATGCTGAAATGCTTACAGACATATTTTGTCCTAAAGAATGATGGATAACTTTATTGTTTTCTTCATGACAGTTCTTTTAAATCATAGGGTAAAATACATGCATAATGGACAAATAACTTGATGGCCAAATCAATCAAACTTTTAGTTAATATTAATAGATAATATATTTCCATCAACCTAATATATTTGCATCAACCCTTTCTAGAATATCATGAGCCCATCCATTTGGTAAGGGTTATTTGGCTGATATGGCCAGACTGATCTGGTGAATTAGTTTAAAGTGACGAGTAATGACATTTGTAAAATTCATTTCAGCCAAATAAGATTGTCAAAAAACTCTCAAAAAAAAGTTAGTCAAAAAGCCTATTTGGTGACTTTGTTTTTCAGCTTATCAGCCAACTTTTTCACCTAACACATAACTTTTGTTTTCGCGCGCTGAGTTGTGTAATAATCAAAATAAATAAGGTTGGAACTACTTTTCTTGTTGGATTGGTTAAAATTACCATATAGGACTATTTTAGCTATTTTTCGTATACTTTTTTCTTTATTTTATTAATAAAATATATTTTAAATTTATTTTTTTCATAATTCAACAAAATCAACCAATCCAGTCACTTCAACCAGAACTTACATAAATTTCAACAGATTCAACTGATTTAGCCAATTTCATTGTTACCAAACAGGCTCAAAAGCTACTTATTTTGATTATTTTGTTTATTCTTATTCCTTCTCTAAACCTTAGAAATGGACCAGAGTGTGGCTTAGGTTGGATGATCAATGAGATTGAGGAAATTGAACAGGCAGGCATTTCGAGATATAAATTATACTCTATGAAGCACAGAACTTTTGGCGGCTCAAGTTTCCCCGTTTCGGAAGCTCGGAAGCATGTCGGAAACTCGGAAACTTCAAATTCCTGTTTTGGACCGTTTCCGTAAATAAGAACTTAGGTACTCGTTTGCATAAATAATTAGCGTTTCAGAAACCTTGGCCTTTCAGCTTTTTTCTTTTTCAAGACTGATAAAAATAGTGCCTTTTTAAAAAGCTTTGTGAACTTTTGAGGTGTTTCTCCGTAGCAACATTGCAACAACTCATAACGCAATGCATTGCTAGAAATGTATTGTATTTTATGTTTAATTATGTACTAAGATGTAATGATTTCCAAATTTGAACATACAGAATGTTTTTATTATTTGGTTATTAAACAAGTTATATGAAAAACTCATGCATATATATAAATGAAAAAACCTGGGTACATATATGAAGAAATATTTATAAACATATCCCTCAGTGTTCCGTTTCGGTGCGGAGACTGTGCTACTTAGCATATACTGAATTCGGACTTCCAGTAACGAAGCTACTCTATCTAAAGTAATCGGTGGAATTGTGATAACACTTCCATCAATAACTTGACATAGTTATTCAAGAGATTAACCTTGAACACGAGAGGTAAAAATCTCATGGGCCTGCGAGTAACGAGCAAAAGCAGTAATCCCAGTTTGGTGATATCGATATCGAAACTTTATTGACTTCTCTGAGCTGCTTAAAGTCGGGAACTGCATCAAAATTCACAAAGTTTTTTTAAGAATGTACGAATTACGAGTTGGGTATTCAATTAGGTTACAGAGATTATACCTGAGGGCGGTGAAGAAGAGATGAACGTCCATGAGCGACGCCTCTGAGCACTGAAACACCCGCCATTCGTTTCCCGTAGCAGACTCAAACGCCGTCTTACCTTAGTTTCTGGACAATAGGCTTCACTAATTACACGTGAACTTGTCACACCTTCAGTACATTTGCTCCAACTAAGACACCATTTCCTTTATTAAAAGAGAGAGGAAAAATTGCCGGAACAAAAGAAAAATGTGGATTTATGTTTTGATATTCAAATATTCAATTCATAAAGTAATAATAAAATTAAAATGATTAAAAAAAAGGTAGATTCTATGGTACCCATAAGGTATCATATCTTTGTCCACATGGACCAATGAGAATGTAGTAGTTGAATTATTTAAATCTAAATTAAAAATGATAAAGTGATGTGGTCCAATCAATAAAATTGACACATGAGACAATTTTAGCGAGACAGAGGGAGTACTAAGTAATAGTTATGTTTGTTATGTTTTAGAATTAAAACGTTTTTACTCCTATTTAGCACAATTTTTAAAAATGTGGACTCAGGTTTGCCCGGTTCCGTGTCGAGACTGCCCAGTCCTTGCAAAATTTCATTGAAGACCGAGTCCAACTTGGCTATTTCTGGTTCCGGGTACTCGGTCAGTCCAGGTCCCGGTTCTAGATCCAGTTTAATCAACTTTTTTTACCCAGTTCCAAGGCTAAAACCTAAACAAAATTATTTGTTTGCCTGTCGTGACTAGAATCGGGATCGCTTGGTTCAATCCCAAAATCAGTAAATTGGGACCGGGTACCATCGTGGTTGTACATGGTCGGTCATAGGTCTGAAACCGGGAAAAAACATTTCCGGTCCAGGTCAAAACAGTACCAGACCCAATTTTAGGCTCACTTCATACCGAAATATAAGTAATAGTTGTCATGTTTTGACATCAGTAGACTTTAAAATGGTATTAGTTTCTAAGCTTGCAGTAATTACTCATATTTAGAAAATTAATTTTTTTTGAGCAAAAAGGATCGACTTTTTATATTAAAATCGAGAAGAGATACAAGATAACATTCAGACAGTTATAGAACAACAGTCTAGAGTTATAGAAAATAAAAATATAGTACTCAGGTTTTGAAATCCATTTTTGCTCTTGAATTTTCCCTTATCATCTAAACCGAAAGTATTGTCCCTTTCTAGATTTGTTTGAAGTATTATTTCTTAATTAGTTTGAAGTACCCCTTCGTCCTCCTATCTTTGCCCCATTTTACCTTTTTCGTCTATTCCATTAAATTTTTCCCATAACATATCAGATAATATTTTGATGGTTACAATTTATTCTTACTTTATTTACACTATGAATTAAATATCAACCATATAATTCCACTTTTAAAAAACCACACTACACCATATTTGCCTCAATCTTAGGGAGACTGAAGTAGTACTCCCTCCGTCCCGCTAAGATTGTCTCATTTTACCTTTTCGGGAAGTCCCACTAAGATTGTCACATACCAAATTTGGTAAATATTGTGTGGCTCTAAACCATTCTTACTTTATTTTTACTTTATCAATTTAATATCAACTACACAAACCCACTTTTTCTTAATAATCGTGTCACCTTCTTCCGTCTCAATCTTAGTGGGACGGGGGTAGTATTATTTAATAGAACACGGTCTAGAGTTGAGAGTATGGGTAGCAAAATAAACCCGACCCACCCGTTTCATCTTCTTCATTGTTTGGAATTGCCTAAAAATGATTTGGGGTTCGTATGAGCGGTGATTTATTCCCTACTATATTTAGGATTCTTATTATTCTGCCAATTTTAACAGTCACCATTTTATGGGTGTTTTTGTTCAAATTATCGATGCGATTTGCTCCATGATGATATGGTATTTACGATTGAAGACATTGTTCCAGTCATATCATAGACCCATTTTTCTCAAAGGTTATCTTTTTTATCAAATCGTTTATGGCTCATCCCTTTTTCGACCCACCACCATTGATTTGTGTTCTCCCATGTGCAAAATCTACTGAAATCATGTGAGGGCACTATAGCTACATGATTAGACATTGATGTCTAACTTCAACTATTTTTGTAATTTCGCTTATTTATGCACTTTTTATTACTTATTGTTCATTCGTTCTAAATTTCATAGATAAATAGTAGGTTTTTCATATCAATTTATAAGTATAGATCAGAGATCGACATGATCAAATTAAACTTCTATTTTCAGTTACATGCATGGTTAACGATCTTTGTGATTCATTTGTGAGTGACAGAGTGTAATTAATCTAATCATTGAGCTTTAGACTGAACCTGGTATCACCTTGAATCTATTGTAATGATTTTTGGTTTATTAATTTCAATATAAGCGATTTTCATTCAAAAAAGTTAGTTTGAAGTAGTATAGAACCAAAATTGTGACTAGAGCAAAATTGCTGCAAAAGTATATTCTTTTTATATAATACTCTAGAAAAAAATTCAAAAATATTATTTCAAAAAACAATACTAGAGCAAGATTGCTGCAAAAGTATATTCTTTTTAAATATTATTCAAAAATTAAATTTATACTAAAATACGATATATTTTTGGTATTACGATCTTTTTATATTGGGGTTTTTATTTGAATATTACTAATTTTGAAGCAATTATAAAAAAAGTGACCATTTTTTAAAAGGGGCAAAAAAGTGATCAAGAAGGTCATATATTTAGAAAAAACATGGTGTTTGCCAGATTTATGTCACTATAGCCGCCGATAATGTCCCTGTAGTCATCGCCCGTGTCGCTGTAGCCACCGATCGTGTCACTATAGCCACCGCCCGTGTCACTGTAGCCACCGTCCGCGTCACTATCACCACCACTCGTGTCATTATAGCCACCGCGCGTGTCACTATAGCCACCACGCGTGTCACTATAACTGCAGTGACATCACCGCAGTGAACACAGTGGCGCCGCTGCCGCACAATGATGTCACTGCCGCAGGATCCGCTGAACTCCGCCCCGCCTCTTCCGGTTACTGCCACCACCGCCATTTGACCACAATGGCCGCCGCCGGACCTTCTGACAACTCCAGCCGCACAGTCACTTCACTCCCCAGCCCCCTCAAAAACCGTGTTTAGATCTTTTATCCAATCTGACATGTGAAGAATACTTATGGGGTGTTTGGGACTAATTCTACTTCTGCTTCATTTTTAAAACAGAAGCAGAATCAGAATCAGTTTTCAGAAGCTAGCTAGTCTCCCCTACCTTCTAAAAAAATTATTCTAGGAGAAAATTAGAGCACCAGAAGTACTTCTGTACTTTCACCCAAACACTCTAACTTCTGCTTAGGCTCGCTGAAGGCAGGGGCTTAGCTAGGATCGATTGAAGGTTGGGCTGAGCCGGTACAAAGAATTTTTCAGATAATATTTTTTCACATAAATTTTTAGACTAAAAATACAAAGAATTTTTAAATTTGGGACGGGCCGTACCCGGTTTAAAGTGTGCCACCCCTCTAGCTCCGCCCCTGGCTGAAGGAGCAGAAGCAGTTTTAAGATTTAGATCCATACATACCCTTTGTAATTGATGAGGAACTCAGATTTTTTGTTTGCCAAATACATGTCTCCATATGTGTACCATAACAATTATTAAATTGAAGAAATCTTCGACGATTCATGTGCTCGACCGTTTCAGACAGGTAGCTGCAGTTCTGATACAGAGTAGGATTACCCTTAGAGCAAGTTAGCAAATCCCGTTTGAAAGCTATCGGGATACGAGTCTATCTTCCTTTAAGGACAGTCTGTCATACGTTTTCTTTTCCCTTTCTCTATTTATTTTTAATCTATCTGATCATTATTTTTTTTTTTTTTTTTTTTGCATTTGGTGGTTTGATTTGTATGGTGATTTGCAATTAAACTCAGAATTTTATCTGGCTAAACTCGCATTCTTAATATTATTTATCTAACACATTAGGCACATGTCATAGATATTCATTCTATTTTACCTTTTTCATGCAACAAGGGATGCTTTGAATCATTTCATTCATAAATATTTTTTAACCCTTAGAATGATTGAAAGATATCATAAAGCTTTAGTTTTCGATTATCCTGACAATCACCTTTTGCATTTTCCTTTCTTGTATCGTGAATGATTAACTCTGGACATTCTTTTTAGTTTTCATACTCATCCTGAAACAATACACAATTGGAGACGCACATGAATATTGTTTTTCCGCTATATTTAATTCCCATTGGTTTCAAAAGTTTTTAATTTGGATTTATAAATCGTGTGAGAGAGTGTGTTCCCCTCAAGTAGCATTGAAGCATCGCCACCAACATTGTAAAACAAGCATTACTCAACCTTGTGTTTTTTTTCTTTCAAATGAAACAATATTAACACACTAGATAATTGCAAATTATACCGTGGGATCGGCCTACCGTGCGCACGGTGTGCCGATCCCAAACGGCGCCGTTTTAATTAATGAAAATCACTCAACCGCTGGAGCCGTGCCCTAACGCGCAGATTCGATTTGGAGCCGGAAGAAGCCATCGCCGGAAGTTGTCTACTGGATCTGGATTAATTAATACTGAAGCCGTACACTGTCAAGCTATATCGATGTTTTCTCTGCAAGCTTCTCCGTATATGGACACTTCTGGATGGTGGAAGAGAAAGCTCTGCTACAAATTAAAGCATCTGGGAGCTGCTATCTGCTCCCAACCGCCGATCGATCCAGAGCCTGACAAGGGGATGAGGATTTTAGCTTCTGGCTCCTAAAGCAAGGAGTGAGTTTAGCAGGGAGTGGGTTTTTGCATCGGGGATACCCATCCTTGGCCTATCGAAGCTATCAAGTGTTGTCTTTGTAGATTTACATTGGCTTAAAAATATTACATTTTTATTAAAGAGATTTACATTTCTGCTTATCTGGAGTTACATATCTATTAGTGTGAGTTACATTTCAATTTTTCTCAATAAGTTACATCTTGATTACACTTGATTTACATTTGACATGCTGCAAGTTACACCACAAAACAATGTAAGTTACACAACAAAATAAACCTCTGTTATTCAATAAAAAATGATTTTCTAATTGAAAGTCATTTTTAATGAACATAATATTAAAAAGAAAACATATGCACTATTTATGTAAAATAATTCGATAATTAGACTCCTTTTTCTCATTAAGCATAAGTTACATTTCAGGACACAAGTTACATATGTTGTAAACTGAAGTTACACTTGTATCAACACGAGTTACATCTAATTATGCACAAGTTACATCATTCATGTTACTGAGATGAAAATAAAAAAACAAGTACTGGAGAAGTTACTGTTCACGCGTGTACTGTTCACGCGATTTTTTTTAAACTGATTAAAACTATGTCGTTTTGTGGGGTGGAGCGTGATGCTCACCGTGGGATGATCCCACGGTATACGAACTGCTAGATAATTGGCTAGAAATCAGAAATGTAAACCTAATTAAATACAACGATATTTTTGCTGCATCAACTAATCTGTTAGAAGATTTTGGGTTTTCCCAATATTCTTAGATACTATACATTATTTAATAGAGCATCAATACTATCATTATTAAAATAATCAATTGCATCACCAACATCATGAATATTCAAGTTTTTTTATAACATATAGCACTCTACCCTTTATGGTGCTAGATCGATCTAACTCAAGAACAACAATGTCATCAATCAATATAGTATCATTTTATATTGTCTCTGTGGTGAGGTTTTCTCTACATATGTGCTCAAAAATGTGTTAAAGATTTTAATTTACATCTTTTTTTCGGTGTTATGGAAAACTAACAAGCTAAGTATAGAACATCCCTTCAATTTCTTGTTGCTTTTGATCTCTTACAACATCTTTTATTCATGTGTTAACATCTAGATAAATGTAGAAGTATTTCATGGTGATACATTCAAAGATTTAATTACAAACTTGTATGTATATATATATTTTATGACAACAATAACTCATTTTGGCAGACTACTTATACAACCTGAAATGTACTAATTGTTCAACCTAAAGTAATTTCCAAAAGAAAATTTATACTTATATACTAGTATACAAGTACTAACAGTTATACTCCGTAATTCATTATTTGATTACATAAAATAAAAAATAAATGTGAATATACAAACATGTAGAAATAAAATGACAATAGTGCTAGAGAATAATCTCAACAACAATAGGTTACTCTTCAAATCCATAATCCTAATTAAGTTCATACTAAAAATAATTTAGTAAATATGATTGATATGCACTAATTAGTAATGTATAAATCTATGTTTTTATGTTTGATTTGTGTGGGTTGTTTACCGTTTTATTTAGTTTGTAAACACTTGTGTGATTTTAGTTGTAATTGTATTTTAGTTTTCATCTATAAGTTGTAAAGTATAAATAGGATTTATGGTGTTGAAAATGAGGACTTTGAAGTGAAGAAAAAGTAGTTTTGACTGTCCAGGAGCAAATACCCGACCGGGTAGAACACTTCACCCGGTCGGGTCTGATTTAAAAACCGAAGCATCACAGGAAACCACTGGACCCAGTCGGGTCAACTAATGCACCCGGTCGGGTCAGACTTGACACTACAAGAAAAACTGTCTTTTGCGTCGACAGAAAATGGACGCAAAAGAGCATGTGTTGACGCAATTGCTCTATTAGCGTTGGTATGTGGACGCAAAAGAGTCGACGGGATTTGTTGGACGTAACTGACTCATTTGCGACCACCCTGTGCCACGGTAATGACTATGCATCTTTTGCGTCGACATGTGGACGCAAAAGACGAGTACGAAAATAACTGACTGGGCGTCAACGCAATTGCATTATCTATTATTTGCGTCCACTTATTGACGCAAAAGAGTGGTGTCTGAATATGTGAGATTTAGTCTTTTGTGTCGACTAGTCGACGCAAATACCAATCAGTTTAAATATATATGGCTATACAATGATCTGTAATGACATTATCAATCACAACAAACACTAGAAATATTACACCATGCATAACACCAATTTATAAAAGCATAATATTAAACAATATTGACTTCATCCAATACATGTTGACTTCAAAGTAATTAATAAAATTTACTACAATATCATGAGTTCAAATCACTTCATACAATGTTAACTTCAAAGTAATTAATAAAGTTTACTACAATTAAAGTAAACTTCTTATTAAGGCTGTTTTTTATTCTTTCTTGAATGAAATATTTTTCTTTGTAAAAATCATGTGTATATAATATATTTGTACTTCCAGTCTTCATTCAGCACAAGAAATGTCAAGAATGATTTTGAAAATGGATTAGTTCTTACATACTATAGAGAATTCACCTTTTTATGAGCATCTCCAACCAACCTCACTTAGACAAATAATCTTTCACTTCAATATATAGGGATTGGCAATCATTGCTAAAGACATGCTAAGGTGGGAAGGGAAGCGAAAAATTAAGCTTCAAAATGAGCTAAATAGCTCTATTCAACAAAGATAGAGAAAGAGCAAAAAGGGAAAATTAATTCACACCCAATTTAATCATGCAATGAATCTGTCTTCTTATGACTAAGTCACCAAACTGAGAGGTACAATATTATACAGGTTTGGTAAAGGGGCACATCTGAAGGGCTTTTATCCATTTTTGCTCATTTATATCATCTATATGCATTGTTCCCATGGACCCCAAAAATCTGTGTCTAAATAGCTTTAATCTGCTGTCAATTTAATTTAATTCAAACTAAAACGAAGGTCCCTAAACAGTAAGGACCGTATAAATTTGTCAAGGAAGAGGTTGGTTACGACCTCATCCTTGACAAGGATGAACTTATCATATTTGGCTTTAAATTTAACGACCAATGTAGCCTTCTATGATTTAAGGCGAAGAAATTTAGTTAAAAAAAATAAAATAACATCATAACGAGGTTCAACAACCAATGTTCTATGGTTTTAATGTTCGTTTTGCAATACCAATCACGTAATGGACTAACAAGTTAACAATAGCAAATCTGATGTCTCCGTTGAACCACTTTTTAACATCAAAGAAATTCAGAGAAACATAAAACGGACAAACAATTCAGGGGAAAAAAAATTCAGCGGAAAAACAATTCAACCTAGAACAAAGAAGGACAGAGAAGGAGAGCTCACAACCGGACTATTTCAAATTGCTACTCTAGAACGAAGAAAGGACGGAGAAGGAGAAAGAAATTGAGAGTAGGAAACCTACCGTTCACAGAGGAAGAAGACGGTCGAATTCACTGGTTCACAGAGGAAGAAGATGACCGGATTCGCTGGTTCACAGACGAAGAAGATCGATTCGCATTAGCTCAAGCTCTTCTCTCCATCACCGTTCAGCATCGTTGTTTGAAATAGGTATAAGCTCGAAGCCCTAATTTACGAGTGAAGCTGGGGTCTTGGGGGAGTCATCGGGGATTTTTTTAATCGACATTGGCGTCCATAGTTAGACGCTATTGTTGGGCGGTATATTATTAATATTTTTACCTTTTTTTTTACGTTGACCCGTTGACGGTAATGCTATTAAAAAATAAAAGGTCAGCTTTGGCGTCATCTTTATTACGCAAATAGTAGATCTGTTCGAAGTTCTACACCATATACGTTTATTATCTTTTGTGTCCATGTATCAACACAAAAGAAGGATTTTTTGCGTCGACAATAGTTAACGCAAAAAGTATAGACGCAAATGATCATTTTTCTTGTAGTGTGACCGGAGACAAAACGTCGTGCGAAGAACACACTAACGTGGGAAATATTTGATTTTGACCGGTACCCAGTCGGGTGAGCACTATACCCGGTCGGGTACCCGGCCAAAGGTGTTGAAAACGTAACACCTATAAGTAACACACTTTTCCTTCACAAAAAAATCACTCCTTCTTTCATACTCTTAAGCTCAGTTTAGAATAACATTTCTTTTATATGTTGCTAGCATGTTTAGTCTCCAAATGAGGAGCTTAACTTCCATTTCTTGGTGTTGCTCTTGAAGCTTGTTGATTATTAAAGTTGTGAGTTATTTTCTTAACTTCTTCCCTTGAATATTAATTCTTCTGTTAATCGATCTCTATATTATTGTTGGGGAGTGTTGTTAAGATGACAATTAGTTAACATCTTGACATTAATTACTACTAGAAACGATCAACGAACCGATGGTTAATCATTGATGGTTTCACAAGTAACTTTGGTTTATTAATGCACGGTCGTAATTAATAAACTTAAGAGGGATTAATTGTGTTGGTTAAACCGAATCCGTTGTGTTGAGGTTATCAGTCTCAATTGATTTCATCAAGGAGTTAAGAGATTAAATGCTACTATTAAATCGGTGTACGGCGTTGTTCTATATTTGATTAATAGTAAGGGTCATTAATGAACGGTCGTTGTTAATAACCACCCTCGATGAATTGGAGATACTCCTCGATTGAGTATTCGAGAGGGAATAAGTTAAAGATATAACAATGATCGACTAAAATATATCAACAAGTGGAAAGTAGCAAAGCCTGGTTCTTTTTATCTTTGAATTACATCTCATATAAGTTGTTCATCTTGTTGTTTAAATTAATTAAATTCAAACAACCCCAAAACCCCCTTTTTATTTACTAGTTTAATAAAAAGAGAATTATTTCTTTCCGTGTGAATATGAACTCTATTTCACTATACTACGTATAAGTGTTAGTATTGGATTTATTTTGACGCACCGTGACAAAGTGCTAGTTAATGATTAAGGGAAAAAGACACCAATTAAAATAATATGTACAATAATAAAATGGATGATGTCAATTGAGTAAAATATATAAATCATCTAACGAATGGATTGTGGGAAAATAGTCTAAATATATGTGTATAAAAGAATCTCTAAATGCACAAATAGGGAAAAGGCATATCTAATTAATAGAGAAATAAAGACATGTCATTCTAAATCATTTTTAAATTATTATTACAACTGCCCAAAATGGGACTACTTACAGATGATAACAAATGTTAAGTGCATTAAATTCCATTACACTTGTTTAATAGTCTATATATGATTGAAGCCTTAGAGCATCACCAATGCTAAAATGTGCACGATTCACATGTGGCATGATCGATAGCCACATAAATATTAGCAAATAAATTATCACTCTCCTTATTTGAATGATTTTATACAATTTTGGCAAGTTTTTCCCTGCAATGTCAACTGCAATGTCAACATTTAGATGGTCTCCTTGACATTGTGGACAAAAACTTACTAAATCTGTATAAAATCATTAAAATAAGGAGGGAAACAATTTATTTACTAATATTTATGTGACTATCTCTCATGACACGTGTGCATTGTGCAGATCAGAGATGCTCTTAGATTGTAGCGTGCGTGCATAAGTTACGTACACGGTGTCGCTTAGTCACCCGTGTAGCGATGGACGAGAGTGCATCCCACTACAAGAAAATACCTTTTGGGCAACAAACATAAATTGTATTGGCTACCAAGTCATATTTCATTGCACATTATGAATGATTTGGGCAACGGACAATTGTTCATCGCCTTTATGTTTGAGCTACCCAAATGTATAATCATTGCTCAATTACGTTTTTAGCCACTATTTTCCAGTTCGTCACTCAAAAATTTAAATTGGGCGACGAAAACTCCCATCTCGTTGGCCGTTGCCCATAAATTCCGCCGGGTCATATGCAACAACATTAAATTGGATGCCCTATCTAATAAAATTATAGCGTGAGCTAGAAAACTGAAATATAGCCTCAACAAAATCCAAATAGTTAGTGGTAACTTTTTATTTCCTTCAAATAACATTTTTTACCCCATATTCCTACCAACCCTATCTCTTCTCCGCCTCAATATATCCTCGGCGAAATCTGCATGTTGTAAGGTTAACAAAATGGCCTATCTGTGTTCCTCGACGACATAAGTTTAAATTGATCAGAAGTATTTCACAAACCAGATGTATTCCCAACTTTTAAGGTGCACGATACAGAGATGCGATCATTAACCAGAAGATTTGAGGTCAAGGAGATGTCAGAACCGGAAATAGACACATACTCCCTCCGTCCCCGAAAGAAGTTTTCACTTTCCTTATTTGGATGTCCCTAATTAAGTTCCCATTTCCTTAAATGGAAAGATATCTACATCAAAACAGTGTCAAACAGTGCAAAACAGTGTCAAACAGTGTCAAAACAGTAAAATTTATCCCCTGGTAAGTTTATTTGCATACAAGTGTGTGAAAGTCAAATGAGAAACTTCTTTCGGAACGGTGTTATAGTTCTCAATGTGGTTGCTACACCTAATTTTAGAGTGCGCATTGAACGCACGATATGTTTCATTCAAATAGACAAATCTTCTCTTAATCTTAAACAACAAATTTTCAAATTGGTCTCTCCATTCAGTTTTTTAATCACCCTATCGGTATTCTAGTTGCCTAATTGTGTGTCAAAAATCTAAGCAAGACTTGACTATTTCAGCACAATTTCATATGTCTGCTCAAGTTGCTCAACTTCTTGAGAAAAGTGTGTAAAAGGTAGTTTTAACTCTATTATTTTTCTTGCAATTTAACTGCACATGTTTGCGAAATCATGCATGATTGGATAACTAGTGTTACTTATTCAGGCCCGTGCCTTGTGTAAGGCTGGAGAGGCACAAGCCTCAGGGCCCCAAAAAATTGAAAAAATTAGGGGCCCATTTTTTCTTACTTTACTATTATACTTATACCTATGTATTTTCAGAAATTTTCTAACTTTATATTGATTTGCTAAATGTTAAATGTGATGTATAATTGATTAATTTATTTTTCATGTGTGAATGTGTAATGTGTTAATATGTAAATTTTTAAATGCTAGTTGATTGTTGTTTGTTTTTTTATTTAGGTTTATCAATATTGTAATTATGGAATTCTCAATTCACAAAATCAAATTATATACTTTGTATTTGTAGAATTGTAGAGAAAATTACTAGTATATATTGCCAAGGATTTCAATACATTATATATTTTAATGATTTCAAAAGAGGAAAAGGAAATCATGTATTGAATCATTAATTCAAAGTCAGGCGGGAGACATTAATAAGAACTTGATTTCGAGTAAAACAACCACTTCGAAAAGTACATCCTCACAAAACGTAACATTACATTGTTAAAGTGTAAGACTTTTATAAACTGTAACATTACATTGTTACGGTGTAAGACTTTTATTTAAGAATTGTGGTTTTGTGATATTTAATCATTAAATTTTAATGAATAAAAATACTAGGCACATGGCCCATTTTATGAAGCTTGACTCATGCCCGAATTTAGGTAGAACCGGGACTGTACTTATATATTCACCCCTTTGTTTTCTTAAACTTCCTGTTATACCTATATATAATAGAGTTAAAACTAGATAAATTGGTTGTTGGAGGATAATGTAAATTTTCTATCGATTCAACTTAATGCATAGGGTCTGCACTATGAAATCCCAGACAATGATTAAATATAAAATGGAATTACAATTTGGCTTAATTAGAAGTAATGAGTTTTCTCGCACTTAAAGATAGATTGAAGTAAAGGGTAAAAGTACGAGTATCGTCTTCACAGGGACGGACAAAAGGGAATTAAGAATTAACAAAATTTAGCGATTAAAAAGAAATAAAATAAAAGCAATTGTGCGAGATTAATTGATTTGGAAAATTAAATTGCAACTAAACGATTAAAATAAAATTGGTTTCTCTCTAATTAGTGATGAAGGGAACATGGATTGATTCCAGGGTAACCAGATTTCAGGTAGATCAGACTTAATTGCATGAAATTAATTTAATTGAGCCTAGCTAATAATTACTAAGTTCTTACGGCTCTCGCGGCGTAGAGTACAATAATTTAGGGGACCAGGGTGATGTCTCATGCGACATGATCCTAAATTATTTCCAAGACGAGCAAGCTTACGGCCTCATCGCTACAAATCTCTTAGCGAGCGATTAAGTGTGTGTGAAGGTGTCTTAGAATAAACTAGATCTCTCTTAATTTATTCTACAAGCAAGTGTAATTCTAGCTGCAGTCTAGGTTACAAGAGATATCAATTAAATTATTCAAACACAAATTAAACGACATTCATGCAATTAATCCATCAAGAAACTACCCAAACATCATGATTAATCCCTTCATCAATCCCAAATCCCTAATTAAACTACTCACAACTCATAATTGAAGAATCAACAGAATTGGGATGAATAGAAATAATTGTCATTAATTAAAAAGATTGAACTTACAAATAATCTCAGGGTCTTGAAGAACAAAGCGGAAAAACGCAGATAAATTCGTCCCTAGGCCTCTCTCTAAAGTTCGTAATCCTTAAACAGAAGAATGAAGGCCTTATTTATAGAAATCAGAGAAAATTTGAGCTGAACTAGGAAAAACGGGTCAGGCACGGCGCCAGACACAACGTGCCTGCGACCGTGCCCGTGGAAGAGAGTCAAAATTTCGCGTCTAGGCACGGCGTACCTTCTGGCCT